TGCGTTAGTAAAACAGGATATTTCAATGTTCTGAACATCGGAAACTACGATACTAATAATGTAACCGCAAAGCCCAGGATAGTTTAAAACCTAAGTGCCTGGGAATGTGGGTACATTATTCGTATCTAATCGGAAACGTACGTGTTCCGGCTGGAGAATATCTTTCAGCAGAATCCGTAGCGAGAATCGTACGAGAGTAAGTCGAAAACGTTGTTTCAGCATAAACGGCTGTTTCAGTGTTGATATATTTGCCAACCATCCGTGCGAGTCGGAAGGTAGCTTGGCTCTAACTTCGATCTGTACTATTTAAAAAGAAATACCAAGAGTAAACATACAGTTCCTATTTACTATATTGTGAGTTACAGGATATTGCTGAGAGGTGTGCAGAGTTACTTTATGAGTGTAGCGGTAAAACGACGATACGCATACTTCGTTGAAAGTGAGTGTTGCTTCTCTTCAGCGCGACTTTACAACATATCCTGGCGCCAGCAAGTGTCGTCTGCACTAACAGATGAACCGTGTGGATGCGTGTGCGATGCAGCGTCAATGCGCTGCAATCGTATGCAGCAAGCTTGAAGCGCTCGCTCCACCGTGGAAGAAGGTATACCATGTAGATCGACCGGTTGTTCCAACACCAACACAACTATCGGGTTTCAACCTAGCTTATGCCAAGACGAAAACTCATTAGAGTGCAATAGCACGTTTGTCCCTCAACGCTTTAAGAAATAAATAACCCGCACGACAGAACGGTGGAATTTTCCTTATATAAAACTACATCAATTATTAATGTTTTGAGACTGAATAAATCCTGGTATGTGGCATTGATTATCTTAATTGATCTTATTTTGGCCTTAGAGCACAGCACTCGATGCCAAAGCTGTTGACTCAGCTATCAACAGAGTGTGGAACAGTTGGTCCGTCCTGCAATTTGACAATAAGCCGACGAGCAGTATGAGTTTTTACTTTGGATTATGACTTACCAGTCACAGACATCTGCAAGAATTCTAGGCATTGCACGTTCAAGAAAAAAATACGCCTAAAGCACAATGTTTTATAAACAGAGTTATGGACTATTATCCTCGCATTTTACATAGTAAAGTGCTCACGTTGTTAAGTATGAATAGCGACTCTTATCTAATTGGCAGAAGATGCTCTACCTCCTCGTGTCGTTATTAGCTATTGATTGTATTCACTTCTGATTAGTAGACAGAGTAAAACACCATTATGGATAACAGATAGTCACAGAAGCCAGTAGAAGCAGGGCTACCCTACATCACGAAAAGAGCCAAGCTAAGTCACGACAGAAAGGGCTGTGACGAGGCCTTTCCCGTGATTTAGGTGTTTGAGTTATTATGATACAAGTAAGTATCTTGAATGGTTCGATATTTTTCATTTGTACTTGTTAAATATACAGGAATGTAGCTTTCGAAGGCATAGCATAGAGAGGAAAATCTACCGCAAAGTACGATGAGACACATTACAACTATGCCATACAAATCTGAGGTGTCCGCACCGGCTGCTCTTGAAACTGCATGCAAGTATTTAATTCAAAGGTAGCCCTATCCGCTTACTGTTATGGGGTAAGGCATGGTGAACTGGCAGAATCAGCGTATGACATAGACTGCGAGTTTGTACGAATTACATTCCAAAACATAGTGGTATTATAGACAACATGTTTTTCGACACATATTAATGATCTATTAGTGGGCATATCTGCTCAATCTAAAGCAATTAAGCATTAAACGCTCTGCTGAAACAGTCTCTGAATCTATACTTTTCGAACAATCTTAGACAACGAGCAAACTTTTTCATACACTAACACTCGATTTAATCCAGTGCATCAGGTAGCACCGTATGAGTTAGGTTTGCAAAGGAACTGAGAGAGGACAATAGAGAATTTTGTTCTATATCTTGCACATTAAACTACTAACCGTTTCTTCTTGAGCCATTAGCAACTGCATTTGTATACCCTACCAAATTAAGCATTACTGGTGACCAGCTCATCATTGAGCTGCGAATTCCATCTCTCACATGTACATGAAGCATATTGGTATTTCATGAAAGAGGACGATCGCCGCCAGTGTTGAAATACAGGAGAAACAACTATTTCTGGCGGTCTCTACGATATTGAATGCTTTACCATTTGATCGGTAGATGTTATAGACTCACAGCCAAAATATATTTTGGGCTTAGTAAATGTGTTATAGCATCTACTATAAATTTGGAAATTTCTGGTCTGTGTGTCCCGCTAGTATATCGTTTCTGCACCGCTCACGATCTCTCCAAACTTGCTCGGCCAACATTCTACAGGACACGTGGCAATGGGCATATTAATTTTATGTTTTACAGTTTCTATCCTTTCACATCCATGCCATTTTTTAGAATTTTTGCACCGTGAGCGCGGATTTTTAACAGCAGGGTGTAGCAAGCTTGCCGAATTACCAAATTTCTGATTCTGCTATTCTACGAATTGATGGTTTCAGCTTTGCATACCGGCGGAAGTATAGAGCGGAATCATTATCTATAACGAAAACAACGGGCATGCTAGTAAGTTTAATCAAAATTAAAATTCTTAGACCCCAGCGTCACTATCTCTACTGTTGTACAAGTTTGATACAGTTCACGTAACAGTTCCAATTAAGGCACCAAACTTGAAAGAACTATAAAAGTAAGTCACAATTAGTTATTTTAAGTTATTACTGGCTTAACAAAGTTGAATGCGATGGTAGAAAATGATGAACAAAATTCCCTGAAAAAATTGCTGCTAAAAAACTGCTTGTCCAGGGCGACAGGCCTACTGTACAGTCTACATGTCCTGCCGTAGGGACATTGGACAGAGCTGAGGACAAACTGGATAAAGCTCTACACTTATTTAGCAATAGCTACTGTATAGATCTTCTAACACTATCTCATACACCTTCGTTATGACCATTTTGCCGAGCGGCTACAAGAAAATCACATGAGGACGGACCAATAGATGTGTCAATAGCGGTTCTCACAGCCGAGTCTATCGACTAAACTCGTTATAAACGAGATATTTTGTACCACTTACTTCTCCTTTTGCACATATATCGCGGACAGCGTACAATAGATACCATTTGAGTCTAGATACCAGGTAAATCGTTAATTTCATAGATCTTTACGAACCAGTCTCGAGAGAGAACATAGGAATTACAATGACCTCTGTTTGCGTTTCAACATTGAGTTGTCGGCACACGGGGCGACACAGAGTTGCTGCGGTCTGCAACGCTAGCGTGCAGAAACCTGTTGTACGTAATATGCAATAGGTTCCATTCGTCGTTAATTTGTGGGCGACAGCGCTGTTACGAGGTGCTTACGAGAGTTGGAGAGTTCTCGTATACCAGAGGCTGATCAAAAAATGCGTCGAACATTGCACGATTGGGATGATGGTGCCAAGAGACCGCAGATTAAACAACTGATAAGCGGTGCCTGCGGATAGAGATAGGAGCATCACAAGGATTAGGCCTGAATGTGGAGAAGCCGCACACCACATGAAGGATGCATAAGTCTACACAATATAGGAGGGACGGCCGTGCTGATCGTGGTTTTGGCCGTAGGTCGATGGAGGACGACGGGAGGTATGGTACGAGACCTCCATGCTCAGCACCAAGCGCTGGAGAAGAAGGTGAGGTTATCACTTAATAACTTTTTTTTGTTCACACAAAAAAGGTAAAATTAGTCACTCTATTAAGAAGTAAATTGTAGTCTTATCGAACTTACGTACAGCGCCAGCCTATAGAAAGGGTGCAGAGTGTGGCAATCAACTCATAGAGAGTTCTTTTGATTGTTGCTGACAACTAGAGAGAGCTACAAAACATGGGTTCACAGCCAGCATTTATATATATTGTCACTTTTTGAGATTATTACACAAGTTGACAGGTTATCAACTGTATATAGCACAATTGAATCTAGCGACATCTATAAGTGAGATTCATATACACGTCCATCTCTATGAGGAGTAGTAATCAGTTCAGAGAACGGAGGCGTGAGAGAACTGATTACTCTCACATAGCAATAATTGTTCACATAAGATGACGAGTGAGCAAGTCTACAAAATAATCTCACATTGATCGGATAGTCAACACAGTAGAAGACATAGGTGAGGTTAAATACTCTAAATTATTATGTCAAAATTAAGCTAGGTATTGAAGGTGAGATTACTTATCATATGTCTTAATCACTATTCCCGCAATAAAGAAACAAGAAGAGTAAGGAGATTTAATGGAGCGTAAGATAGTATGGGATGCATAGGCATGGCCACCAGACATGGTGAGATTAGCACTTAATATGTTACACGTACGTTATCTCATGACATAAGCTAACAGAAATATGTTTGCCTATAGCCTCACTGCTGTGTTTAAAATCAAATTTACAAATGAACGGTCTATATCAAGAGACACATTTTATTTACGTGAAGAGTGGGCACATAATCAGTCTAGTTTACCAGCTTGCCATAAACATGGGATCATCATCGATCAAGAACGTACAGATCTTAGTTTTTGTAATTTTGAGGCATAGAATGACTCGATAAAATTCGATATGGTGGTATTATAATCATCATGTCCGGATAGTATAACAGCTACGACAGGTAACAGGTCAAACATTATGAGAAAAGAAAATACGGCGGCAAATTAATCGAGGCTACACCTGTGATGAGACGGAACCATGTCATTAGCGGCTTAGCGGCGACGCATTGTTATTAATGTTAGCAAGTGAAAACTATGACATTGTAAGAGTTATATGTATTATTGCTTAACAGAGAAGATAACAGAACAGCTTAGCGTCTTGGGCGCCAGAGCAGCAAGATTTTCGAAAGCTGGCGGTTGTGTTTTGTGTCGAAGCGTTTTGTACGAGTCGAATGCGACCGGCAAATTGGGCGAGTAATAGATGAAGGTCATATAAGGCATGAAAGAGTAGATTGGGCATAGTTCATCGTGAATGGGCACTAAGAAATCATTAAGTGCTCTGGAAGGTATATAAGCATGAAAAGTAGATTGCATAGTCATGTGATGCACTAAAAACATTAATGCCTGTTGTTGGGGGCACTATGCTCTCATAGTGTTGCTTTGGGAAGGAATAGTGCCTTATTGTTCACACAAAAAGGTGAGATTATCACTTAATATTGTTCACATAAGAAGGTGAGGTTATCACTTAAGATTTGCGCCTGTTCGTCTCTGCTGGCACTGGTTTCTGCCAGTATCTTGGGTGTGTTTTGTATACGTGGATGTATGCCGTGTGTACGTGAATGAGATGTGATGTCATATGTGGAAATAAGGGCGAGGTTGAAATTAACCAGGTTCCATCTGAGCGAGATAACCATGCACTCCCTGCTTGAATGTTGTTGTTGGGTTTCTCAAGCTAGACCAGTTTTTACATGTTTTCCATGTTGTTAAATTGTTAACTTTGCTGCACTTTATTGCTAGTCGTTGCCTTTTTTGAATGCACTATTGCATTATGCACTATGCAGTATTGATTGGCTAGAGTGGTCTGTTTATCATGTCAGGATGACAGGTCGATCGAGTAGTCTGTGGTAAAGTGTCTGTAAACGTTGTCAGTACATTTGTGTGGCAGATTTCGAAGCAGATTTCCTCGCAGATGCGAATGAAATCGCTGATGAGGTAAAAAATAAGGCTTTAAAAAATATTTTTAATCGGTAAACTTTTCTTTTATAGCTTAAGAAAGATGAGGTGCTGATCATGGATCTCAGAAAGGAAAATGATCGCCTTCAGCATCAAGTATGTATGGGGAAAAAATAGCACAATATACATCTAATGCAGGATGGGATCGTTCCCTCTATTTGCTGCTATTCTCCCCCTATATAGTTGCATATTTTTAAGCGGTAGAACTAAAAAATATTGAATATATAGTTTTTCCAGTAACTAATAAGTCATACCACACAATGAATATCAAATTTAATTATATTTTCTTTAAGTATGATATCTTACTGTTCCTTGGAAATTGATTCCAAAGCTAAATTTATTATATATCACGATCATCAGTTCCACCCTTGCGGATATTTTTACAAACACTGTTTCTGTTTAGTGTATTTTGTCGTTATTTGTTTGTTATTAAGCAATGTTTATATGTGACTGCTGTCGAGTAATAATATTTGTAGCCGCTAATGTTTTAATAAATTCTATACATTTAAGCTTTCTGAGCAATCAAGACTAGTCACAAACAGTGATAGCATCACACACTCAGTAGACGAGAGCGGGTATGCCAGCATCTCAGAGGGGCCCAAGGATTTCTGGATAAACAGGGTAGAAAGCCTAGAACGAGCCCTGCAGGCAACCCAGATTTTGAAGGACCAGGCATACAGCAAGGTGTGTGTATATACCCAGTGGCATGCACTCCGAACGATCTCTTTACAATTTCAGTAAATGATAACATTTAAAAGAGAAGCGAAGAATTATTGAACGAAAATATTCCAAAAGGCTGTAATTGTATCCCCCGCAACGAAGTCGGCGGGGATACTATGGTATCACGTCTGTCCAGCCGCCGCTCGCCGCCGCAGACACTTTCCCTTCCGCTCTGTAACTCGACCCTTAATTGACCTAGCGCGACCAAACTTGGTACACTTACACATCTTGGGGAGAAGGTGTGTCGCGTACCAAAAGCAGGTCACTGCGACTTTTATTTGACCTTGACCTTGACCTTGATAATATTTCCCTTCCGCACTATAACTCGGCCCCTAATTGACCTAGCGCGACCAAACTTGGCGTACTTACACATCTTGGGGAGAAGGTGTGTCGCGTACCAAAACCAGGTGCAGGTCACTGTGACCGTTATTTTACCTTGACCTTGACCTTGATCATATTTCCCTTCCGCTCTATAATTCGGCCCCTAATTGACCTCATGGGAGCAAACTTGGTATACTTACACATCTTGGGGAGAAGGTGTGTCGCGTACCAAAACCAGCTGCAGGTCACTACGACCTTTATTGACTTTGACCTTGACCTTGATCTTGATCATATTTCCCTTCGCTCTATAACTCGGCCCCTAATTGACCTCGTGGGAGCAAACTTGGTATACTTACACATCTTGGGGAGAAGGTGTGTCGCGTA